TCCAGCCCTGCCCCGATCTGCATGCAAAGTTTTGGTTACAACAATCACAACATCTGGCCAGTCAATTAAAGTGTTAGGGGGTTACGCTCTCTTTCTCCCCCTTCTCCTGTCTCTCTCTCTCGCGCGCGCTCCCCTCTCCATATTTTTTTTGTTTTCGCTTTCTCTCTCTCTCTCTGGCGCACACACCCTCTCTCTCTCTCTCTCTCTCTCTCTCTCTCTCTCTCCCTCCCTCCCTCCCTCTCCCTCTCTCACTCTCTCTCTATGTATCTATATATCAGGAGTTACGTGATATATATGCATGTATAGTTTAGTCCGACTAAAAAACCCTAAAACTTATCATCGACTTTTAGTATGCCTAGGAATTGCAGCAATAAACATTGGCTTACCTCATGCGTTGCTCCATCTAGAGATGAGATATCATTTCAATTTTATAACATGGTTTTATGGTTATTAATGGAAATTGTCTATCTGCCCTTCCAAATTTCACAAATTTCCTGGGGGAACGCCCTCAGACCCCCCTAGCAGGACAGTGCTACGCACACTGTTATCGTGCCTTCGGCATGAATTGAAATATTTCCTCCAAAAACATCTCAACCTGTTCTCATGCCTGTAATGTGTGTGCTCATGAGAGAATTTACTTTTCAGGACACTTCCGTGACTGTGAAATGCTGTAACTTCATCGCAATGGAAAAAGAGCGTGAAACACGGAGAGCTTTCTCTGAACTAGCTTCACAATTACAAGATTCTCAGCCCTCTGCTTCTGGGGAAACCGGAAGTAATGGAAGACGAGAGAGATTCGGGAGTGTGCCACGCGATTTTTCTTTCACCGATCTCCAAAGACGATCTACAATCTCAAAAGATTCTGGTGGACCGGAGGCATCCAGAGATAGTTCAGAAGACAGAAAGCCCTCTGCATTAAAAGAATCACCACCAGAGGGCAGTGCAATGGAAGTACAATATCATAAAGAATGGTGTAGTGTGCAGCAATCTGAGTTGTTTACAGATACCGATGATGTTTTCCTACCTGCAGCACCAAGCAGTGTGCAGGTACAAACGCCATCTGGTGAGCACGTGTACAAGTCATTTCCTTGCAGTGTTGAAGACATGTCTGATAATTGTGCTGGAACTGGTCAACCTCAAATGGTGTGGGAGCAGCAACATGAGCGTCAAGTTTTTGCGCGAGGTAGAAACACTAATCGATTGTGGCTGCCAGTCCAGAATTCCAACGCGTCAGTCGGCACGAGTTCTGGAAGCAGCTGTGGTGATGAAAGTAGTAAAGATGAGTTGTCACCTTTGCCGCAGTCACCGCTGCCACACTGTCCTATGATCTCCCCTGTTCGCAAGCAGTTTGACGCGCTGTTTACGATGGATGATGTCTTGTCACGCCGAAGCAGTTCCACAAGCGTTGGCCACGAAGAAGAGAAGGCCGAAGCCAAGCAGAGCCCTAAGTGGACCTCCACTGAGCTCACTACAGAGAGCGCTGAAGGAAAATTGCCCAGTTGTGATTTGGCTTCACCATCTGCGCTTGATCCCCGGTCTAAAAAGGGATACTTTAGCAAGAAAATTGGTCGTGTAATCGATACAGATGAATTTAATATAGATCTGAAGGTCTCCCGCCAAAAGCTGCTAGAATCAACCAGAGAAGGCTTAGAGCCCTCGAAACAGACAACTAGAGAGATAAGCATAAAGACAGAACCCTATGATTCGGTATTCGATGATTTGGCAGATAATTCTGCTTTCAAATCGGTGAGACCTGGCACGCTGCGATACCGCAGTTTTAGTGAACCAGGCGGTTTCAGTTTAGTACCCAGCCAGTTAGAGCAGCAGGATTCTGGGCAGAAGCGCGGGGCAGAAGCTGAGCGCGTGTGGGAAGAAGAAAGTGAATCTTCGAAAGTCACAAAATTAGGTACAGTAGAAGAGTCTCAGCAGGGTAGGCCTGGAAACGAACCGGCTGATTCAAGAAGACGAGGTCTTCAGATTCATATTAGTCAAGACAGAGGCGATGATGACGAAGCGGGCAACGAGGAAAGGCGACAAGAGCATAATCAAATGTTTATGAGGCCGTGGCTGCTAGGCCCACCCGTGATGCCGCCGTACCATAGTTTGCCTAGTTCGCCTACCCTGGGTTATTTCTCGCTTTCTCCGTCGCCGCGTGAATCGTATTCTGGCGGATTCTTTCATTTTCCGCCCACGGACCATGATGCCTCGGCTTCCTCGTCGCCAATTCGTCCTGAGTCAGGTGTGTTCTCGGAACTCGGGAGCCCCTTCTCTCCAAAGGATGGTGAACGCAGCCCGAGAAGTCCGACAGGGCAGTTTCTTACCGTGCCACACAAAGAGGTATTCTCTCAAGACGCCGGCACTTTGCAGTTCACATTAGGCGGTGCACAACAAGCAGTATTAGGCCTTTCTCCAATGAAGTCAGAAGAGCTTAAGAATATTGGTGGGCTGGACCCCTACCACACAAATGCTCCCAGACTATCTGCTCAAGATTCCGATGTCACATATATATGTCCGATATGTGGACAGATATTCGCCATGTATGACAGACTAGCAAAGCACATTGCGAGCCGACATCGTGGAAGTGACGGTTCGAGGAAAGACACTTCCCCAACTAAATCTCATTATTGCCATGTGTGTAAGCGATCGTTTGCGCGCAGTGATATGTTGACTCGCCACATGCGCTTGCACACAGGCATCAAACCGTACACGTGCAAGGTGTGTGGGCAGGTGTTTTCACGTAGTGACCACCTGAGCACGCATCAGCGTACACACACTGGCGAGAAGCCTTACAAGTGTCCCGCATGCCCCTACGCAGCCTGCCGACGGGATATGATCACACGACACCTGCGCACTCACAACAGGCAAGCCAAGACTGCAGCTGAATCATTGCCCGGCTCCAGCACAGAACCACAAGTGCTCCTCGACCCCGGGCCTGGCCTTCAACCGCCACCACAAGGGCTCACCTGACAACACGACTAACTAGCCTGAGGATTTTCCGGGACCAAACAACTTGGTCATCATACTATGTTCAACATTTTTAGCTATTGTAGTTATTCGTTTATATTCCCAAAGCAAATCCGATGAACTTTAAAGAGACTACTCTAATGAAGTAGACTACAATCATTATTAATTGTAGCTTACAGTAATATTCAATAATAATTCGTGTGCATGGTGACCAAGGGCTACTCACATTCAGCATCATGTGGGCATTTTAGCTGATTGTTTAAAAATGTGATAAGATGTGACGTGTTTATTGACCAAAATGCTTTTATTGGCTATGTATTGTTGGCTTCAACGAAAAGCAGCTGATTAGCTGAGAGAAGATGAATTCTGCACCCGTTATGTTAATGCTCATCTCGGTTCTTTTAATACGCAGGGTCAATTACATTTCCCACTTCAGTGTTGGTGAGTTTACATGTTCACATTCATCTTCATGCTTATCAGTGTGATTCCCTATGTTGAAAGTCATTGTATATATTTTTCACACGTGTATGTGTAACTTGATCACTCCTCTGGCTCTAGTATATGGTGATTAAATTTTGTCAGCTGTGTAAAATAAACAGTGATTGGTACATATGGGGGAGGGGGTTCATTGAAATGGGTATCACTAGTCAAAAGGAATGTGAGCCCACAGAGGAAAATATTTCCCCGTTTTACTGTCTGACTCATGTATTTGACCTCGGCATACGTCTTGTGACGCCTTAAAAATTCTGTTATACATAACAAAAAACCGAAAGCATTTACATTACTGTTTGTACTTGTTTGTTTTGAATTCATAATCTGGGTTGATTCACAGCAGATGTCACTAATTTTTGGAATTTTGGCAGTGATGTCAACTTGTGTCGTGCTGCCGCCCCTCATTTTACTGCAGGCTTCCACTCTCTGAGGGCAGGGAGTACATTAGACTTCATAGCTATAATGCTATTTATACCACTGGGGAATTGGCAATAAATGATCAGGAAGTTGCAATACATGATCAGGAAGTTGCAATACATAACGCAATGTCTGTGACTTTGCACATAAAAACCAGCTTACGTATTGTAAATCCACCTGTCTATGCATTTATTCAACGTCATCGTTGGTATAGAAATTATTATGGACGTTTGGATCATTTACTTATGTAATTGTTTTGGTTGATATACATACATCCATATACTTCTCCTTTAAGGAATCTATCTGAGAGTTGGTGATTGAACAGTTCACTACTAAAGTTCAACACTGAGGATGATGTCACACTTGTAATCACTGAATTTTGTATGTTTAGTTTAAATTGCATGTGCATTTAGAACGCACGTATAATATATATTGCCTAATGCCCACTATAGTGTGCTCTATGTCTGCTTATCATTTCAGTTACCGTCTGTAACGGTTACTTCATGTGCAGGTACGATGTGTACATAAATGCTATGTTTATTACGTGAGATAGTTGTAATGGATACTATTTTACATGTATGTTGAGCTATTGTTGCCAATTATTAATCATTATCACGTTAAATTGTGTTGTCTAGCATTCGCAGAGAATCGTTGTACTTTGTAAATGTTTGTGTTGAAGATGGTGGGACTATTTGTTGGAATGAGCCGTGATCAAGATTTGTTACAAAGTATCAACAGCGGCCGTATTTTGATGTTTAAAATAGTATACGGATTTTATTTGTGATCAGCTAGCTGGTCATAGAATAAAAATGAGATGTTGTTGTACAAATCACGAGCTATTTTGCACGTGAGGCGTAAAGTGATGACTTTTTGACATTTGACGTCAACAAAACGTTATTATTTTGCTGTTTCCTATGTGAATATGCTAATTAATGTGCAGGTATGAATTTGTATCCAATTTTATACTGTTTGTGCATCTGTTCTAGTCAGTTTTTGGCATGTATAGTGTGAGCGGAAGTGTTATATCTAAATAGCATTTACATTTAAAGCATCATCAGGGCTGCACATTACATTTGTGTGGCAATTTTTCATCTGGTGATAATTGAAAAACTCTTTTGTCAGATAAACATGTAATGGATGTTACCTGTTGAGAAAACTATCCACTCGGACGGGAATGTTTTTTACAGGCACGGTACAGAATTTCTCACAGTTTCTAAATCATTACAATTGATCAATTTTAAGGAAAAAATGACGGTGAAAACCATCTGATTTTAACTAGAAATTTGTATTTAGTTGTAACCGAGTTCTCTGTTCACCTACATGTTATCAACCGAACTTGAACAATCCGCGTGTGATTGTACTTCTGAAGCAATGTTATCCAAATACACGAAGAATTTAAGACAAATCTGGATTTGGTTACATATTTTTACAGGCTTCTTATTTGAGATTTTATTGATTACACAAACGCCCTAGTGTAAAACGCTGAGATTATTTTACTAGTAGGAATATTTGCTGTAGTCCTGTGTGTGTGCGTCTGCCAACATCGTACTCTAAATATAGTAGTACGTAATATTTCACATAGAGACAGTTTCAGCGTATGGTTGCAAGTTGTAAAAGGCAATGATGGGTATGTAATTGTTTCAATTTTTTAAAAGCCTATAATTATGACGCGTTATTTTTTATAAAATAATGTAGAAGCCTATATCAAAGTTGCTTTATAATTAATTGCATTTGTGATTGAACTGAAGCGGAGTTTAAAGGGATTCTTTACTCTAGGTTCTAGGGTTATTTTCAGTTAATTTAGGTTAAAATTACGCTACATAAAAAGCTTCATGGTTCAATCACCAGTAGAAATGTTTTAAAAATAACGACTACAATTTGATTACAACGACGGTGGCGCCACTCAAAGCGCACGACCTGAAAAGTTGCGCAAAACTACTTTTCAGCCAAGGGCTACAGACCGAGGGTGTTTCTTATTTATTAATTTAAAAGCAAAAGGATTGTAATATCTTATAAACGACATATAGTTTCAGTTATATTATGGATAAATTTGTCCTAAAATGAACATCGTTCGGTTAAATAGCATTTAGGTATAAATATAGCCTTTGTGATTAGCCCTCGGTCTGTAACGTGCAAAATATATTGGGAAATGCGCAACCTTTTCAGGGTAGCAGCACGGCCGCAGGTGTCAATGGCGCCGTTCAAATTTCGTAGCGTTGATGTATAATTAATTATAACAATTAAATTAGGTACCTGGTAACAAGTACGTGTGGGTATAGGCGATTTGGTAAACAGTAAGTACAGTTGTATGCAGTAAAATCCTAGAGTCTAGTATCCAGGGCCGTACGCAGCAGGGGGGCAGCAGGGGCAGTTGCCCCCCCCCTAGAGATTTTCAGAGTATGCCTTTTAATGGGAGAAATACTGTACGCTTTTAGAAATAAAATAGAAATGTGACAAAAGGTTATCTTAAATCATCAAAGAAATATTACACTTTAAATAAAGAAATGTGAAATTGCGAAACGTTAGGGCATGGGGAGTACCTTTGCCCCCCTACAGAAAATTTCCTGCGTACGGCTTGTCCCTTTAAGTCATAGAGGGGGATTGATATGTAGGCGGTTTCCAACGCGGTACGTAAAAAGTGATCTTAAGGTAGCACGTCTTCTGTTTGAGGGAATGAGAACAACAGGGCAAGAAACCCTATAGTTACTATTCTGGACTTTAGTTATCCGCTCATTATCCCGTGTTCGCGATCTGTAGGCGCATCATGTTACGGTAACGTCATTAGCTTTACCTTTAAATATATCCGCTTAAAGTTATTACGTCACCGTAAATAGTAAAAGTATAACAAATATTTCCACTTTTTCACAAAATGTAAGTAATTCTGTTCACTTTTTATGGTTAAATTGCTGCATTATACTTCCTATTTGACTATATTGTTTAATGTAAACATACACTCGTGACTCATACATAGCCCATAGCAAGCAATTAATGTCAGGATCATAATATCAAATCGTCCAGGTTTTTTGGATTTTTAACTAGTTGAGAAATAATCTTATTAGGTAAGAATTTGACGATACATTCAGTCCCGTTAGTACTTAAAAAATGGCAACAAAATTTAAAAATATATAGACCAGAAAATTAGTGATGTACTCAATTTAATAATAAAAATCCGTCAAACCTCACCAAGTGCATCAGGTCCCGGTAAATTTTTTTTAGCCGACCGTGTATCAAAATTCTTATATGCATCCGCTATACTTCATTTAGTCACGTGTGTATGAAATTAAATTTTCTTATGTAAAAGCCTAATGCCAAACACTATACCAGTACGTATGAGATATGCGTTTGTGCATACGTAGGTTCGTTGTCGCGCGTGTGCATGCGTAGGTGCGTTGTCGCGCGTGTGTGTGCATGCGTAGGTGCGTTGTCGCGCGTGGTTGCATGCGTAGGTGCGTTGTCGCGCATGTGTGCATGCGTAGGTGTGTTGGCTCGCATGTGTGCATGCGTAGGTGCGTTGTCGCGCGTGTGTGCATGCGTAGGTGCGTTGTCGCGCGCGTGTACGTGTGCATGCGTAGGTGTGTTGGCTCGCATGTGTGCATGCGTAGGTGTGTTGGCTCGCATGTGTGCATGCGTAGGTGCGTTGTCGCGCGCGTGTGTGCACGCGTAGGTGCGTTGTCGCGCGCGTAGGTGCGTTGTCGCGCGTGTGTGCATGTGTAGGAGCGTTGTCGCGCATGTGTGCATGTGTTGGAGCGTTGTCGCGCGTGTGTGCATGCGTGGGTGCGTTGTCGCGCGTGTGTGCATGCGTAGGTGCGTTGTCGCGCGCGTGTGTGCACGCGTAGGTGCGTTGTCGCGCGTGTGTGCATGTGTAGGTGCGTTGTCGCGCGTGTGTGCATGCGTGGGTACGCGTGTGCGTGTCGCTGCGTGCATGCATGTTTGGTTCCCATTATGCAGTGTATCCGTGTGTACAGTTACTACAAAACGGTGCTGCAATGCGCGCTGGGTGCGGAAACCAAATCTTTGCTACTTGACTTGCCACATCTCTATTCAAATGTTTTGCCGTCTTGATGTAAACGTATATAAGTAGGCGTATACTGCCTCATTCTCATTATTCTACACATTAGCCTGTTGGGGATAACTATGCAGCAAATAAACGCCCGAATCTTGACAGACAAAATTCTATTTTCTACGATGGAGTAGGCCTACAATGTAATCTGAGTGTAACGTCATTTTGAATAATATTGAAATAATGAAATATCTTAATTAGTTATATATTATTATAGGATATGATGAAAGTAAAGCTATAGCTTCACTGAGGAATAGTACAGTATATATATATTATTATACACCGCCCTCTTTAGATTTATTAGACTGGTGTGCTGTAATGTATATGTTGAGAAATCAATACTAATAAATTAGAAGCGTTAATCTTACGTAGACCCTACTTGCCCGCATACACGAAAACGAACGCGTCATTACTCGCGATCTGCATGGCGATCCACTGTGCTACTGGTTAACGCGCTACTGTATCCCTGTCGGGCCTCGCCAGCTACCTGTAGCTCTTCCGCCTCACACCCATGTTGGAATAGTGATCAGTGTTGACATCCGAAGAAAAGTTACGACGCTGCTGTGTATGAAAAAGGTAGGCTTGTTCTAACTTCTTCGAATATAAGAAGTGTTACTCAGCTCAGAATATAGTTTCACTTATTGCACGCATATTAGTTAGTACGCTATTATTCCGAGTACGGACTGCGTGTACTACGATGTACTGTATGTAGCATACGTGGGACTTGAGCCGGAATAAAGTGTACATACCATAACGTTGAACTGTCAGAGAAGGTTAAATAATATAAAGCTAACCAGGTCACGGCGCATACAGAGCTGGGCTACCACCATGTATATATGTAAATGACAATTCTATGCCGATATTGCTACCACTTTATGGTTGTGGCTATCATGCCATTAATTACACGATTAGTAATACATCTGCATGTACAATTCTGCATGTACGACTACGGGGTCTCCAAAACATGTAGGCGGTATCTGCATGGCGCACTCTGCTGGTTCCATGTAGAATTGGTAGTATTTCGTTTCTGTAACTACTATATTTTATCTGCTAGCTCTCACGAATGAACAATAATGTAACCCGATAGAGTATATGGTTCGGATTACTATACAACACGTACAGTACTTTCCCTACTCTGTTGGTTAGCATCTAGCTAAGTACTCTTCTCCTAGAGAAGGATCGGTTTACGCACAGGCACTTGGAACGTCTCAATAAAAAAAAGGTAAGTAAACACGAAATGTATTTACTACCAAAGTCTTAATGTTTATATATATCTTATAATATATATTTATGTGTCAGTGTGCAGCAGCTATAGCGTGCGGTGTACTTGTGTGTTGCAGATGAGCATTTGACCGGCATTTACAGGTGATTATAGGCAAAATAGAGTAGAGAAAGATTAAGACTTTGGTAGTAAATACATTTCGTGTTTATTTACCTTCTTTTTTTATTGAGACGTTCCAAGTGCCTGTGGGAGGGACTACGCATTTTGCATGACGCGTAGCGAGTATCTTAGAATAATAGCAGCGGCATGCATTGTGCCAATGCATTAGCGAGTCACTTCGCGTTCACAGCAGATATATACTTGGGCATTACTGTATGGGCAAGACAAGGCTGAACCTGTTCTGATTTAGCATCACATCACATTGTCGCACTGTATTCTTAAAAAACCTCTGATATTCTAAATACTGACATGTTTTCCATTCATCCTCTCTGCATGCCCGTGCTGCGTGAGCTATATACATACATGCAGGGGCGTGTACAGGGGGGGGGGCAGGGGGTCCGGACCTTCCCCCCCTCTGCTCGCGCAGAATGTCCATATATTTTTTAATGCACCAGACAAAAATGCCATTGATGCACATATCAAGATGAAGTTATTGTGGTGTCAGATGCGAGGAAAACGCATCTGAGGGGGTCTAATTTCAAAATTTTAGACCCGAGACCCCCCCCCTTCGCCGCGAGCACCTACATTGCTCGTAAGTTTGGGTTATGGTTAGACCCCCCCCCCCTGGTACATATCCTGTACACGCCCCTGACATGAATCCGTTATTCATGCATCATATATATATACATGTTGTACATAACATACATGACATGAACATACGTTATGAATGTTATTCACATACATGTACTTTATATTACTTATAATTAATAAGTTTTTATTTCTAGCTGGGCACATACTGTATGTTATATTTTACACAGTCAATCTATGCGTTATATTTATACATAGTTTTGCCTCCTCTCCCTCTCTCCCTTTCTCTATCCAACTCCTCCGCTTGTCTCCTCTTTCTGTCTTTATATTTGTCACTACCCCTCTGGCTCCTCACTCTCCATGACTCTCTCTCCACCCCCTCCCCCTCTCTCTCCCTCTCCTGCCCTCCCTCTTCTCTCTCTCTCTCTCTCTCTCTCACACACATTCTCTCCCCTCACATCCCTTCCCTCTCTCTCTCCGCCCGCCTCTCTCTCTCTTCTCTCTCTCTATATATATATATATATATATATATATATATATATATATCAGAATTCCTATTATCTACTTCTGATATAATATAATATATTATATAATTTATTAATATTGTATTAATATGATGAACATGTGCGACTTGTGCGTGTATAATATATATATATATACATGATCAACTATTTTCAAATCTAGCATCAATCATTATAATTATGTAATTATATTTAAACCGATACATCGCATTTGTTGCAAGGATAGGCCATTGTGTTGCAGTCGATACTAACACTATGACATATAACTAAATGTATATACAATATAATCGATTTACAATTATAGATGTGGTAGATGCATCAAATATGAGTATAACTACGTTTAATTGTTTCTCTCTCTTTTCTGTAGGCGTATGTTAGGACACAAGTTGATCCACATCGCTGAAAAGAAATTATTCTGTAGTCATGGGTCGCAAGCTGAACCTGGCACCACTTAAACAAGATGAATGTGAGACTATTCTTGCGGTCATACAAAAGGATTTCGACCTGAGAGAGAGAGATAAAAAGCGATTGAGGTAAGTGAGTCCTTCTCGACTCGGAGTGATTACTTTTGCTTTGTTTTCTCTAAGCACGCACCATTATTGCTCATGCTGGATAGCAGCAGAACTATAAGTAGAGGCCCCGCCCGATTGCGGATTCAATCCAACAAAAATATAGTGCTGATCTTTTTTATTGATCATCGTGGATTTCAGAAGAAACCCCCTGTGTGAAATCTGTGCGCAACTATAATTCCACACCACTAGAAAAAGTGGAACTGTCTTCACAATATTCCCATCCAACCAGGTTAATTCAATATTGGTTGAACTGTGAAGAAATTAACCGCAAGTGCAACAAAGATGAGGTCACTTATACATAAGGACCACTATCTTAAGGAAATAATTCAATAAAATCATCAATTGAAGAAAGTCTGTTATTACAAATTATCGGTACCATAGATTCCTATAAACGTTTGAGGATTGTAATGTTGCGTGCGTGCGTGCATCGTGCGTGTGTTCCTTTGTATACGCGTATGTTAGTATAATATGTGCAGTGTCTAATAGGCGTGCACACTTAAGTCAGCCGCCATAAGTCAACAATTGCTGAAATGTGCACGAACAACTAAAAAGTGGGCTTGGCATACTCCCGAAGGCAGTCGCAAGTCGCTACCTGTGTTACAATGCACGTGATAATATAGGCTGCTCACCGCGGGGCCAAGTATATCTGTCATGTGGGTATGCAGGGATGTTCGGATTCGAGAATTGTAGCATGCATTTATGTTTACTCGCAATCATACAGGGCCGTAGGCTGAGCAAATTCCTGGGCGGGGGGGGGGCAGTGGCGGATCCTGGATTTACAATGAGGGGTGAGAAACAGGTGGGGGTCTGGGGGTCTTCCCACAGAAAATGTTGAAAAATGTAGATCGCAGGAGATGGTATTTGAGGCACTTTTGAGTACATGCACAGCCTTCACACTGACTACGACAATTCTTTTTTAGTAGAACAATTTATTTTTTTAATTTTGCTCCGAAATCTAGCCCTCTCCCCCCCGCCGCAGGCTACGGCCCTGATCATGCCAACGTAACAGGATATAATCTTTATAGCATACTGTTTTGCTTGTGTATAGGTTATGTTATTTTGGACATAATATTCATCATTATTATTGTTGTTGACACATATTATTTAATTATCTACTATTCTCATTATTATTCATGCAAGAATGTTATCATGTAGTCACAACATATCAGTTATTTTTAACAGGTAAACATAATATATAATATAAATAATTGGTAATTGCATAAATTTAAGTAAATTGTATGGAAGCCAAGTTTTTTATTGTCATAATATCACTATAGCAGTTTTATGAATAAACGTGAGGTAAGTAACAGCTTGAGGAACGGTTGGAATCGTATGTAGTGTGGAATGCGTGCGTGTGTTGTCGTGTGTGTGTGTGTGTGTGTGTGTGTGTGTGTTGTGCGTGTGCGTGCGTGGCGTGCGTGCGCGCAGCTGGCGTGCGCGCACCACGCCAGTGCGGTTCGTTCGTGGCGTGCGTGCGCGCTCGCGTGTGTATGTATTGATTCTCCATTTATTCTCATGCAGTCAGATGGAATTGAGTTTGAAGCAGAAAATCCAAGAAGCATGCATACTTGGTAAGAAGGGACATTTCAAGGAGAGCCACTGCATCCATTGCTGTTCAACATTCTCATTTTTTTTCTGGAGAAAAAAACTGTGCATCCAGTGCAGTTACTATGTGTGCAAAGAGTGTTCCACGTGGGACAAGCTTGACCAGGCATGGGTGTGCAATGTCTGCGAACGGCAGCGGTATGTACATACCTACTCAAAAAGACATTTTCTTTTATTGTTTAGACTGTTGCTTTATTAACATTGAAATTATTGTGGCTAAGTGGCTAAGTTCAGCAAGGCAACAATTTTACAGTGTTTCTTAAATATAGTTTCAGGTGAAACCAGATAAGAATTCGTGATGCACAATAAAAATTATCTGAAGCTCTTGATGTCTGAAAAATGATAGTGCGCAGTTGTTGATCGCATGTAATCAGGTAGCGTGGGTGCTTGTAACTAGTAGGGAATTTCAAACCGTGGCGGATTAATTGGGCATCTTGTATTCTTATCTGGTTTTAGTTAAGGGGAGGGTATAATTAACTTCATATAGCTACCTCACTCTCCCTGGCTCCCCGTATGCTAGTTCAAAGTGCTGTGGAACGCTCATTCTAACTATGTATTATGTGTGGATCAAGGCGCGTGAGCTACCTCTAGTTACTCACCTTAGCTGGTGATTACTCATTCTGGATTAAAAAAAGAAGATCAAAACCTATTTGAATAGTTCTCAGTCATTGCCATATAGTTGGCATTATATAAAATACTCCCCCCCCCCATAATCTAACTGTTGTCACATAAAAACACATGGTTGTTACATAGTTATTGGAGAAAACATGGCAAAATAGTTTTTAATTGAGCATGGTTAATATTGAAATTTTACCCAAAAATTCTGTTCTGTGAAAATAGTAGGAGGGAAATAAAAAGAGCTGCATGTACCTTGTTGCAGGGACCTGACGTTAGCATGCTGTGATTGGTTCCACATCAACTTTAAACACCGCTTCAGACAATTTGGCAGTGCCAAGGTCGCATCCCAGCTGCAAAATCAGAGCATATGCAGTGATGGTACGTGTGTTCTCATTTTCCTTTTATAGATGATTTATTTAAAGGGATCGTTTACTCTAGGTTCTAGGGTTATTTTCAGTTAATTTAGGTTAAAATTAGGCTACAGAAAAAGTTTCATGGTTCAATCACCATTAGAAATATTATTAAAAAACGTTTTAAAACTAACGACTACAGTTTGATTACAACAACAGTGGCGCCACTCAAAGCGCACGATCTGATAAGTTGCGCAAAACCACTTTTCAGCCAAGGGCTACAGACCGAGGGTGCTCTTCTCTCATTTATTCCAATTTAAAAGCAAAAGGATTTGTTAAATATCGTCATACAAACGGACATATCAGTTCTCAGTCTATCGAATTATGGCAGAAATTTGTTCCTAAAAATGAACATCCGTTCGCGTTAAATTACGCCATTGAAAGGTATAAATATAGCCTTTTGATTGCTGATTAGCCTCGGTCTGTAACGTCAAAATATACTTGTCGGAAAATGCCACGCAACTTCTTTCAATGTAAGCAGCTGGGCACGGCGCAATCGGGTTGTCAATGGCGCCGCACCTTAAATGGTCGATAGCGTTTGATGTATAATTAATTATAACAATGAAATTAGGCACCTGGTAACAAGTACGTGCTGGAGTACTAGGAGATTTGCCTGATAAACAGTAAGCTACAGTTGTATGACAGTAAAATCCTAGACGTCTAGATCCAGGGCCGTACGCAGCAGAGCGGCAGCAGGCCGGCCATATGCCCCCCCTACGAGATTTTCAGAGTATGCCGTTTTAATGGCAGAAATACTGTAACGCTTTTAAGAAATAAAATAGAAATGTGACAGAAAGGTTATCTTAAATCATCAAAGAAAATATTACACTTTAAATAAAGAAATGTGAAAATTGCGAACGTTAGGGCCACAGGGCGGCATGGGATACCTTCTCCCCCTACAGAAAATTTCCTGCGCACGGCTTGTCCCTTTAAGTCTTGGGGGGGGGGATTGATATGTAGGCGGTTTCCACACGCGGTACGCTAAAAAGTGATCTGAGGGAGCACGTCTTTCTTTTGAGGAATGAGAACAACAGGGCAAGAAACCCTATAGTTACTATTCTGGACTATGAGTTATCCGCCCATTATCCGTGTTCGCGATCTGTAGGCGCATCATGTTACGGTAACGTCATTAGCTTTACCTTTAAATATATCCGCTTAAAGTTATTACGTCACCGTAAATAGTAAAAAGTATAACAAATATTGTCCACTTTTTCACAAAATGTAAGTAATTCTGTTCACTTTTTATGGTTAAATTGCTGCCCATTATACTCCTATTTGACTATATTGTTCGATGCTAAACATACACACGTGACTCATACATAGCCCATAGCAAGCAATTAATGTCAGGATCCATAATATCAAATCGTCCAGGTTTTTTGGATTTTTAACTAAATTGAGAAAAAATCTATCAGGTAAGAATTTGACGATACATTCAGTCCCGTTAGCTACTTAAAAAATGGCAGACAAAATTTAAAACAATATATAGACCAGAAAAGTATGATGTACTCATATTAATAATAAAATCCGTCAAACCTCACCAAGTGCATCAGGTCCCGGTAAATATTTTTTTAGCCGACCGTGTATCAAAATTCTTATATATGCATCCGCTATACTTCATTTAGTCACGTGTGTATGAAATTAATTTTCTTATGTAAAACGCCTAATGCCAAACACTATACCAGAACGTGATGAGATATGCGTTTGTGCATACGTAGGTTCGTTGTCGCGCTGGTGTGTGACTGCTCGTAGGTGCGTTGTCGCGCGTGTGTGTGCATGCGTAGGTGCGTTGTCGCGCGTGGTTGCATGCGTAGCGTGCGTTGTCGCGCATGTGTGCATGCGTAGGTGCGCTTGTCGCGCGTGTGTGCCATGCGTAGGTGCGTTGCGCGCGTGTGCATGCGGGGGTGCGTGGTCGCGAGCTGTGGCATGCGCTAGGCTGCGTTGTCCGCGCATGTGATGCATGCGTATAGCGGTGTGTTGCTCGCCATGTGTGCATGCGTAGGTGCGTTTGTCGCGCGTGTGTGCATCGCGTAGGTGCGTTGTTCGCAGCGGTGTACGTGCTGCAGCCGTAGCGTTGTTGGCTCGCATGTGTGCATGCGTAGGTGTGTTGGCTCGCATGTGTGCATGCGTCAGGCTGCGTCTGCTCGCGCGCGCCTGTGTGCACGCGTAGGTGCGTTGTCGGCGCGTTGTGTGCATGTGGTATAGGAGCGTTGTCGCCGCATGTGTGCATGTGTAGGAGGCGTTGTCGCGCCGTGTGTGCATGCGTGGGTGCGTTGTCGCGCGTGTGTCTGTGCAGTCGCTGTTGCATGGTAGTGCGTGTTTCGGCGCCGTGTCGTGCACGCGTAGTGCGTTGTCGCGCCCGTGTGTGCCATGGAGCGCCGCGTGCTGCGCCGCGTGTGTGCATGCCAGTGGCGTATACGCGTTACCGTAGCGTGTCTCTGCGATGCATGCATGTTTGGTTCCCATTATGCAGTGTATCCGTGTGTAGTTACTACAAAACGGTGCTGCAATGCGCGCCTGTGGTGCGGAAATCAAATCTTTAGCTACTTGACTGCCACATCTCTATTCAAATGTTTTGCCGTCTTGATGTAAACGTATATAAGTAGGCGTACTGCCTCATTCTCATTATTCTACACATTAGCCTGTTGGGGATAACTATGCAGCAAATAAACGCCCGCAGATCTTGACAGACAAAAAATTCTATTTCTTACGATGGAGAGGCCTACAATGTAATCTGAGCTGTAACGTCATTTTGAATAATATTGAAATAATGAAATATCTTAATTAGTTATATATTATTATAGGATATGATGAAAGTAAAGATTATAGCCTTCACTGAGGAAGCAGTACAGTATATATATTTTATTATACACCGCCCTCTTTAGATTTATTAGACTGGTGGCTGTAAGGAATGTGAGAAAATCAATACCAATAAATTAGAAGCGTTAATCTACGTAGACCCTACTTGCCCGCATACACGAAACAACGAACGGCGTCATTACTCGCGATCTGCATGGCGATCCACTGTGCTACTGGTTAACGTGCTACTGTATCCCTGTCGGGCCTCGCCAGCTACCTGTACTCTTCCGCCTCACACCCATGTTGAATAGTGATCAGTGTTGACATCCGAAGAAAAGTTACGACGCTGCTGTGTAGAAAAAGGTAGGCTTGTTTCTAACTTTTCGAATATAAGAAGTGTTACTCTGCTCCAGATATAGTATTCACTTATGCGCGCCATATTAGTTAGTAAGCTATTATCCGAGTACGGACTGCGTGTACTACGACGTACTGTATGTAGCATACGTAGGACTTGCAGCCGAATAAAGTGTACATACCATAACGTTGAACTGTCAGAGAGTGTAAAATTAATAAAATGCTAACCAGGTCACGCGCATACAGAGCTGCGGCTTACCACATGAATATGTGTAAATGACAATTCTATGGCCGATATTGCTACCACTTATGGTTGTGGCTATCATGCCATTAATTACACGATTAGTCAATACATATGCATGTACAATTCTGCAGTGACGACTACGGCGTCTCCAAAACATGTAGCGGTATCTGCATGGCGCACTCTGCTCGTTCCATGTAAATTGGTAGTATTTCGCGTTTCTGTAACTACTATATCTTTATCTGCTTGCTCTCACGAATGAACAATAATGTAACCGCAGTAGAGTATGGTTCGGATTACTATACAACACGAAACAGTACTTTCCCTACTCTGTTGGTTATGATATTGCATCTAGCTAAGTACTCTTCTCTAGAGAAGGATCGCGTTTACGCACAGGTACTTGGAACGTCTCAATAAAAAAAAGTAAGTAAAAACACGAAATGTATTTACTACCAAAGTCTTAATGTTTATATATATTCTTATAATAATATTATGTGTCAGTGTGCAAGCAGCTATAGCTGCCGCGTGTACTTGTGTGTTGCAGATGAGCATCTGACCGGCATTTACAGGTGATTATTAGGCCCAAATTAGAGTAGAGAAAGATTAAGACTTTGGTAGTAAATACACATTTCGTGTTTATTTACCTCTTTTTTTATATTGAGACGTTCCAGTGCCTGTGCGAGGACTACGCATTTTGCATGACGGTAGCGAGTATCTTAGAATAATAGCAGCGGCATGCATTGTGCCAATGCATTAGCGAGTCACTTCGCGTTCACAGCAGATATATATACTTGGCATTACTGTATGGGCAAAAACAAGGCTGAACCGTTCTGGATTTAGCATCAACATCACATTTGTCGCACTGTATTCTTAAAAAACCTCTGATATTCTAAATACTGACATGTTTCCATTCATCGACTCTGCATGCCCGTGCTGCGTGAGCTATATACATACATGCAGGGCGTGTACAGGGGGGGGCAGGGCGTCCGGACCTTCCCCCTCTGCTCGCGCAGAATGTCCATATATTTTTTAATGCACCAGACAAAAATTGCCATTGATGCACATATCAAGATGAAGTTTATGTGGTGTCAGATGCGAGGAAAACGCATCGAGGCGGGTCTAATTTCAAAATTTTAGACCCGAGACCCCCCCCCCCCTTCGCCGCGAGCACCTACGTTGCTCGTAAGCTTCTGGGTTACGGTTAGACCCCCCCCCCTGGTACATATCCTGTACACGCCCTGACATGAATCCGTATATTCATGCATCATATATATATACATGTTGTACATAACATACATGACATGAACATACGTTATGAATGTTATTCACATAGCATGTACTTTAATATTACTTTAATTAATAAGTTTTTATTTCTAGCTGGCGCACATACTGTATGTTATATTTTACACAGTCAATCTATGCGTTATATTTATACATAGTTTTGCCTCCTCTCCCTCTTTCCCTTTCTCTATCCAACTCCTCCGCTTGTCTCCTCTTTCTGTCTTTATATTTGGTCACTACCCCTCTGGCTCCTCACTCTCCATGACTCTCTCTCCACCCCCTCCCCTCTCTCTCCCTCTCCTGCCCTCTCTCTTCTCTCTCTCTCTCTCTCTCCGCTCTCCTCTCTCTCTCTCTCTCTTTCTCTTTCTCTCTCCTCTACTCTTCTCACACACATTCTCTCCCCTCACTATTCCCTCCCTCTCTCTCTCCTCCTCCCTCCTCCTCTCTCTCTCTCTCTATATATATATATATATATATATATATATATATATATCAGAATTTCCTATTATCTACTTCTGATATATATAATATATTATATAATTTATTTAATATTGGTATATAATATGATGAACATGTGCGACTTGTGCGTGTATAATATATATATATATACATGATCAACTATTTTCAAATCTAGCATCAATCATTATAATTATGTAATTATATTTAACCGATACATCGCATTTGTTGCAGGATAGGACATTGTGTTGCAGTCGATACTAACACTATGACATATAACTAAATGTATATACAATATAATCGATTTACATTATAGATGTGGTAGATGCATCAAATATGAGTATAACTACGTTTAATTGTTTCTCTCTCTTTCTGTAGGCGTATGTTAGGACACAAGTTGATCCACATCGCTGAAAAGAAATTATTCTGTAGTCATGGGTCGCAAGCTGAACCTGGCACCACTTAAACAAGATGAATGTGAGACTATTCTTGCGGTCATACAAAAGGATTTCGACCTGAGAGAGAGAGATAAAAAGCGATTGAGGTAAGTGAGTCCTTCTCGACTCGGAGTGATTACTTTTTGCTTTGGTTTTCTCTAAGCACGCACCATTATTGCTCATGCTGGATAGCAGCAGAACTATAAGTAGAGGCCCCGCCCGATTGCGGATTCAACTCCAAAAATATAGTGTGATCTTTTTTATTGATCATCGTGGATTTCAGAAGAAACCCCCTGTGTGAAATCTGTGCAACTATAATTCCCACACCACTAGAAAAAGTGGAACTGTCTTCACAATATTCCCATCCAACCAGGTTAATTCAATATTGGTTGAACTGTGAAGAAAATTAACGCAAGTGCAACAAAGATGAAGGTCACTTATACATAAGGACCACTATCTATAAGGAATAATTCAATAAAATCATCAATTGAAGAAAGTCTGTTATTACAAATTATCGGTACCATAGATTCCTATAAACGTTTGAGGATTGTAATGTGTGCGTGCGTGCGTGCATGCGTGCGTGTGTTCCTTTGTATACGCGTATGTTAGTATAATATGTGCAGTGTCTAATAGGGCGTGCACACTTAAGTCAGCCGCCATAAGTCAACAATTGCTGAAATGTGCACGAACAACTAAAAAGTGGGCTTGGCATACTCCCGAAGGCAGTCGCAAGTCGCTACCTGTGTTACAATGCACGTGATAATATAGGCTGCTCACCGCGGGGCCAAGTATATCTGTCATGTGGGTATGCAGGGATGTTCGGATTCGAGAATTGTAGCCATGCATTTATGTTTACTCGCAATCATCAGGGCCGTAGGCTGAGCAAATTCCTGGGCGGGGGGGGGCAGTGGCGGATCCTGGATTTCAATGAGGGGGTGAGAAACAGGTGGGGGGTCTGGGGGTCTTCCCACAGAAAATGTTGAAAATGTAGATCGCAGGAGATGGTATTTGAGGCACTTTTGAGTACATGCACAGCCTTCACACTGACTACGACAATTCTTTTTTAGTAGAACAATTTATTTTTTTAATTTTGCTCCGAAATCTAGCCCCCCCCCCGCAGGCTACGGCCCTGATCATGCCAACGTAACAGGATATAATCTTTTATAGCATACTGTTTTGCTTGTGTATAGGTTATGTTATTTTTGGACATAAATTCATCATTATTATTGTTGTTGACGACATATTATTTAATTACTACTATTCTCATTATTATTCATGCAAGAATGTTATCATGTAGTCACAACATATCAGTTATTTTTAACAGGTAACATAATATATAATATAAATAATTGGTAATTGCATAAATTTAAGTAAATTGTATGGAAGCCAAGTTTTTTATTGTCATAATATCACTATAGCAGTTTATGAATAAACGTGAGGTAAGTAACAGCTTGAGGAACGGTTGGAATCGTATGTATGTGTGGAATGCGTGCGTGTATGCGTGTGCTTGTGTGTGTGTGTGTGTGTGTGTGTGTGTGTGTGTGTGAGGTGGTGGTGTGTGTGTGTGCGTGCGTGCGTGCGTGCCGTGCGTGCGTGCGCGGCTCGCGTGTGTATGTATTGATTCTCCATTTATTCTCATTGCAGTCAGATGGAATTGAGTTTGAAGCAGAAAATCCAGAAGCATGCATACTTTGGTAGAAGGGACATTCAAGGAGAGCCACTGCATCCATTGCTGTTCAACATTCTCATTTTTTTCTGGAGAAAAAACTGTGCATCCAGTGCAGTTACTATGTGTGCAAAGAGTGTTTCACGTGGGACAAGCTTGACCAGGCATGGGTGTGCAATGTCTGCGAACGGCAGCGTATGTACATACCTACTCAAAAAGACATTTTCTTTTATTGTTTAGACTGTTGCTTTATTAACATTGAAATTATGTGGCTAAGTGGCTAAGTTCAGCAAGGCAACAATTTTACAGTGTTTCTTAAATATAGTTTCAGCGTGAAACCAGATAAGAATTCGTGAATGCACAATAAAAATTATCTGAAGCCTCTTGATGTCTGAAAAATGATAGTGCGCAGTTGTTGATCGCATGTAATCAGGTAGCGTGGGTGCTTGTAACTAGTAGGGAATTTTCAAACCCGTTGCGGATTAATTGGGCATCTTGTATTCTTATCTGGTTTTAGTTAAGGGGAGGGTATAATTAACTTCATATAGCTACTCACTCTCCCTTGGCTCCCCGTATGCTAGTTCAAAGTTGCTTGTGGAACGCTCATTCTAAACTATGTATTATGTGTGGATCAAGGCGCGTGAGCTACCTCTAGTTACTCACCTTAGCTGGTGATTACTCACTCTGATTAAAAAAGAAGATCAAAACCTATTTGAATAGTTCTCAGTCATTGCCATATAGTTGCCATTATATAAAATACTCCCCCCCCCCCATAATCTAACTGTTGTCACATAAAAACACATGGTTGTTACATAGTTATTGGAGAAAACATCGCAAATAGTTTTTAATTGAGCATGGTTAATATTTGAAATTTTACCAAAAATTCTGTTCTGTGAAAATAGTAGAGGGAAATAAAAAGAGCTGCATGTACCTTGTTGCAGGGACCTGACGTTAGCATGCTGTGATTGGTTCCACATCAACTTTAACACCGCTTCAGACAATTTGGCAGTGCCAAGGTCGCATCCCAGCTGCAAAATCAGAGCATATGCAGTGATGGTACGTGTGTTTCTCATTTTTTTTATAGATGATTTATTTAAAGGGATCGTTTACTCTAGGTTCTAGGGTTATTTCAGTTAATTTAGGTTAAAATTAGGCCTACAGAAAAAGTTCATGGTTCAATCACCATTAGAAATATTATTAAAAAACGTTTTAAAACTAACGACTACAGTTTGATTACAACAACAGTGGCGCCACTCAAAGCGCCGATCTCGATAAGTTGCGCAAAACACCTTTTCAGCCAAGGGCTACAGGACTCGAGGCGTGTTCTTTATTTATTAATTTAAAAGCAAAAGGATTGTAATATCTTATAAACGACATATAGTTTCAGTTATATTATGGATAAATTTGTCCTAAAATGAACATCGTTCAGTTAAATAGCATTTAGGTATGAATATAATTGTACCTTTGTGATTAGCCCTTGGTCTGTAACGTGCAAAATAAATTGGCAAATACGCAACTTTTTCAGGGTGGCAGCACGGTCGCGGGTGTCATGGCGCCGTTCAAATTTTGTAGCGTTGATGTGTAATTCATTATGACAATTAAATTAGGTATCTGGTAACAAATACGTGTGGGTATAGACGATTTGTTATACAGTAAGTACAGTTGTATGCAGTAAAATCCTAGAGTCTACTATCCCTTTAACGTTATACCAAGAGCTAGTTATGAGTCACTTCTGAATCCGCATCCTAATATTTTAAATCTTTATAAACAACCTTTCATGGCTATGTATCTTTGTGGCTATTAACAACACATCTGAAATTTCAACCAGGTGACAGTGACAGTCTGGACGAAGTAGAGATAGAGTTACGGGAGCATACAGAAAACCTAGTCGAAAATGTTGTTGGCAAGGGTCTTAACTCTGCACCAATAGGACAGATGTATCACAATGAACAGTGTAAGTATGCTAGTATAGTGACGCTAGGATGGTGCGTACCCATATAAACTGTTGTGTTTGAACTTGGTGTTAATTTGTATTTATCTCAGTATTGTTGCATGGGCATTGCAGACTAACCCATTAACACGTTTGCACATTATGTTTGCAAAGAGATGTAATTCACATGCACATGTACCTATATGTATTGATCCATTAACGTTGCTAACATAGGTGTGGGCTGTAACTTTCACAGATGATAAGTTCGTAGAAACCTACTTTGATAGCCTGAGAAATGCTTTGATACAGCTAACTGTATGCCTGCGATCCATTATCAGTGGTACGTAAGTGCATGAGTTATCCAATTATATTCAGTAACATTACAAGGAATGGCAGAAATGTATGCCTGTATGCTTTTGTGTGTGTGTGCGTTTCTATGTTTATTTATTCTCCTACAATATATATATATACATATATATGTAATGTATATGTGTGTGTGTGCGTGCGTGCGTGCGTGCGTGCGTGCGTGCGTGCGTGCGTGCGTGCGTGCATGCGTGCGAGCGTGCGTTCGTGCGTGCGTGCATGCATTCGTGCGTGCGTGTGCATGTGTGTGCATGACGTGTGTGTGCGTGCATGCATGCGTGCGTGCCTTATGGAGAAGCCATGATCAAAACAGAAACGGGAGGAAATTTGGCCAATATATCTTATATTGTAAGGTTATAAGGTATTCTTGCTGAAATATGAAAAGTTCTGTGATAATGCATAATACATTTTTAGAATATTTAATCTGCAGCTGACTTTTGGTTGAACTCAGTCAATTATTAAAACATCAAAAATTCTCACCATCAAATGAAATTTATGCATCTTGCTTAAAATTATTGTGCAAGATGATGTGCGTTGTGACGAGAAAAAATCGCCAGACAACCACAAATTGATGGTGGTGTTGTAAATTAATATGCCACAGCTAAAAGTGTCTAGAAAGGTAAGTGTGATGTGTAAGTGCACAGCTCGTTTTTGCGGTAAAGTAAGTTTTTTATACTAGCTTGCTGAGCGTTATTTGTTGTCCAGATGGTGGTGTACCTAATATCAATGATCCCATGCAAAGTCATGTGCTTGTGAGGAAAGTCATTCACCAGATTGTCGACGAGGTGTCTAGCTTATCAGTATTCGAGGTGAGTTAATTATTCTAGTGAAAGATATTTGCATGATGTGATTAAGATCAGTTAAACTAGACAAATGAGGAATAGTGTGCTCTGTGATTGGTGTGGTCTGTAAAAGGATGGAGAGGTCTATGCTTTTAATTAATACTGTGCTGTGATGTTTAACAAGATTATATCTATGATTTTAATTAGTGCAATGGGCTTTAACAGGATAGGGAAGTCTGTGATGAGAACTCAGCAAATGCACTGCAGGTATATGAGGACTTGTTAGCATCTGCTATCATCAATAAGGTACAATTCAAATTTAATTTTAATGCAAAATCTGGTGTTACATGACGCTGTCTCTCAGTATTAGTCAGACAGAGATGCCAACCACTACGATTTATTCGTATTTTATACGAATTTCTATTTCTTTTGCACCACTACTACCAGTTTGTATCAAACTACGAATTTCACTGTGATCGAAAAATAAAATAAAATAATTATTGTCATTTTTGACCCTCAGAATGCAGGAAATGGCATCTCAGAATCAACAAATTTTCCGGGGGGCATGCCGGACTCCCCTAGCAAACTCGGGTCACTACGTGACCCTCGAACTACTAATTTGATGGCCAGAAACTACAGATTGCTTCAAATACGTGTTGGCATCTCTGGTCAGATCTAAAACTTTCAAACAATGAAATTGTGAAAAACGTGTGATGCTCATGAAAATCAGCTTTCCCAAGGATTCCAGTTCAGCTTTCTTTGAGGTTTGGAACTCTCTTTGATCCTGGGCCATGATGCTTTTAGTGGTTATGTTTAACTCTCATGAGTCTTCAGTATGTCTGTAATTACTGAATGAAACTAATGAAACTTAGTAATATATAAACTCTTACATCAAACGTGTTATATTGCACAGGTAATATTAATTAGATGGATTCGAATCAGTGCTGAGGGCAATTATTAATGATCGTGATTCTCATTCAACCATATTTAGTATACCATATACATCCTATCACCAACCAGCTGTCTGACACTCAACTTGATTACGCACAGTCAAATTGTGACACACACACACCAGACAGTTTGTAATAACTCTTTCATTTGATGCACTTGTGTATATATCTGTAAGGAAAGGCAAAATGCCAGTACACCATACACAATGTCAATTAATATGTGATGATAATGCTAAACCATTGCAGTGTGTACGCGTTACCCTGCGCTAAATACGCGCTAGTTAAATTTAGCTAAATTTCGATATAGGCATGCACATAGCCTTGTTTGGGTCACATAAAAGTACAGTAACTGTCTGCTGAGTGACGCAACAAGCTAAACTGAGCATGCGCAGTCAACCCGTGCTAACTTAGCCTGGTTCAGCATTTTGTGTCTGTATACTGTGATTTAGCACGCCTGGCCCGGGCGTGGCTCAGACTAGTTTGATGTAGGATAACATTTTGCAGTCTGTATGGGGTATTAGACTTATCAGCCTAGTTTATTTAAACAACTCTACAACTCAGTGACCACTATGCAAATGAAGTCCTCTTGAGTTTAGGTCCCTGTTTTGAAGTTATTGTCATTGAGTGTGTTCTGTATTATGCTTGCATACATGACTCAAGAGGATTTATCAGCTTTATGCCTGATGGTATGATAATTTTGTCAGGTTGTCTATGACTATCAGCTGCAGCAAGCAGAGAAAGTTCATGAAGATAAGCGCATGGAACAGTTGCAAACTACTAATGTCACTGAGGAAGTTGGCAGAGATCTGGGCAAGAGGTCATCTCATTCCATTGCTCTTGGTGAAAGTGTTAGTATAATATTGCTTGCTTTTAGGGATAATTAAAGTTGAACATTATTTAATATCTATTCCCATACCTTCATGCTATTTATGATTGATCAATTTGAAGTGTGTTAACACTGTCATTGCAGTATTAAAGTTCAGTGGCTTCAATGTTTTAAGAACTTCTATAGATGTGCATATATGTATGTATCGTAATCATTAACAGAAACACTAGCATTTGAGATTTTTGTAGACTTAGTAAAGTACAAGTAATAGTCTTTTTTGATAGTCAGGAAGTTAGGTATGTGTTAGGTATGTGTTAGGTGTACAAATTTTCATGCTGCTTCACTGCAAGATGATTAAGCTTTGCAGTTTTACTAAGTTATCTTTTCTCAAAAAGATAACTGGGTTGACAGTTACATATTTTTTCTTATAGACGTCAATGCAGAATGGTAGCTTAGTAGAGCGCACGAGGGATGACTTCATGATTGCATCACTGGATAATGAGGATGAAGTGGATTCACACTGGGAGGGGCTCGATCACCTCCAGTATCATAAGGTATGACTCTCATTTAGGCCATCATAGGATGGATAATGCACTCGATGTGAGAAGAGTTATAGAAGATATATAATTTCAGTGAGAGCAGTGGAATTATCAGTGGTTTAGTGCATGCTCAAAATTATTTGGCTCTCCCTCCCTGTGAGTGTGCGTGCGTGTGTGCATGCCTGCATGCATGCGTGCATGTGCTTTTGCTCTTTTTCTCTCTTGCTGGCTCTCTCACTTCTCCCATTTCTCTGCCTCTCTCTTCCTGGCGCCTTGATAAATAACTAAAGTGAGTGGACATCTCGTTTTAGGTTAAATTGCCCACAATAACACTTGGGTTAGACGATCAGGAAGCTATAGAAAACTGGTACTTTAAGAATGAGCAGAATCTTCTCACTTCATACACGACAAGAAAAGGCATGGAGTACAAAGTTGCACGAGACCTGGAGGAGTCGGTGTACATGTATGTCCCTGAACAGATGGACATAGTGAAGCCAAGAATTGGAGACAGGTTACTTATTTAATATTTACTGTTACACTAATGTATATTTTAATGTTTAATCCATCACTGTATCAAAACACATTTTATTATGCCTCTGACTATATTATTGCTTCGATACAATCAACTGTATGATAAAAATTTGGAACACATATAGTGAAGGTGAAGTCCTGTTTACACATACGTAAATAGTAGTCATCAAAGGCAACCAGCTTGGCATGAGTTTGCCAGGATGCGATTTTCTCATACGTTGTTTTCCAATTAGGGACGTTGATGAGATCATTGAGCTGGCAGAAGCGGATGCGATAGAATCAACTTTTGATTTTGATATAAAAGCCTCACAGGAGTTTCATGAGAACAACATTGTTAATTTTGAGCACTGGCGGCAGGACCGCACAGCAGTGAGAAGACAAGATAAAGACCATCTGCTACTTGACACTTATGGGTGAGTGAATTACACAACAGGGTTGTACGAAGTTCTTCTAACCTGATGGGCAACAGGTTCTTTTTAATGACAGTTTTACTCTGTCAGTTCTGAATGTTATAAATGATGGATGTGTAGTGAAGTATGGTTGATGATGAGTGCAGTATAAAAGTTTTTGTTATAAGAAAAATGAAATAAATAATAATATTGATGTTGTATATAACAGTGGAGTATTTGGGGAATATCATGATGATGTCGACTACATGCGCGCAGAAATGGCTGCTCAGCGCGCCATGCAAGCAGAAGAAACAAACCGTTCCTTGGATGTTACGTATGCCAGGTAAAAACCGAAAATGATTGCGTTCCTGCGAGCGTTTGTATTCTTGATTTCAAATTTGTGAAATGTTGATAAATTATGGCATGATATCCTTCAGGTAAAATAGTTATGTAGACTATTTGCTCATTAATGCTATAAATAAAAATGTAGGTACTCGCTAACACGGCTGAAACCACCAGCTCGGAGGGCCGGTGTTTTGCCAATGTTACTGGGCCTCCAAATAATTTGCCGGCATATGCCGATGGGCCAGTGCTAATTTCGCGACCTGAAATTATGTTACAGGAAAGTTTGATCGCAGACCATAAGAAATGATGTTAGAGGTAAAACCTGAGATGCATAAGCAATACTGTTTTTTAGCTTGCCACGAGAGATAAGCAAAGAATCGCTGGAGACAAGTACAGTGCACTCAGAAGACTCAAGACGACTTTCTGTCAGTTCATCTCTGTTCACCGACATGCTTGAGGATGGCAGCTTCTCTAAACAGGTGTGTTCAGCTTCCACGTGCTAGAACAGGGGTTCTTAACCTGTGGTCCATGGACCCCTGTGGGGTCTGTGGATGGGCTTCAGGGGGTCTGTGAACCCCATTGTATGCAAAATTTTGTGTTCATATGCTTATGTGCATTTTTCTGAGGAGGGGTTCGTAGCTTTCACCAGATTCTCAAAAGGGTCCATGACTCTGAAAAGGTTAAGAACCACTGTGCTAGGGTCTTCTTCACTGAACAGGCAGTGATGTCCATGATAACATGTCAGCCCATGTTCTCATTTGTCTTTTCGTTACTTTTGCTCTATATTTTTAGAAAAATCAGTTTTTATTCTGGAAAATTGTGGTAATTTTATAAAATAAACAAAATTATTCCTTATTACTCCTACTCCTACTGCTACACCTACTCCTACTGCTACTCCTACTCCTACTCCTACTGCTACTCCTCCTACTCCTACTGCTACTCCTACTCCTACTGCTACTCCTACTCCTACTCCTACTGCTACTCCTCCTACTCCTACTGCTACTCCTACTCCTACTGCTACTCCTACTCCTACTCCTACTGCTACTCCTCCTACTCCTACTGCTACTCCTACTCCTACTGCTACTCCTACTCCTACTGCTACTTCTCCTCCTACTCCTAATCCTACTACTCCTACTACTGCTACTCCTACCCCTACTGCTACTTCTACTCCTCCTACTCCTCCTACTCCTACCCCTACTGCTACTCCTACTCCTACTCCTACTCCTACTTCTACTCCTACTCCTACTCCTACTCCTACCCCTACTCCTACTCCTACCCCTACTGCTACTGCTGCTCCTACTACTCCTACTACTGCTACTCCTACCCCTACTGCTACTCCTACTCCTACTGCTACACCTACCCTACTCCTACTCCTACTCCTACTCCTACTCCTACTCCTACTCCTACTACTCCTACTCCTACTCCTACTCCTACTCCTACTGCTACTTCTACTCCTACTCCTACTCCTACTCCTACTCCTACTCCTACTCCTACTCCTACTCCTACTCCTACTCCTACTCCTACTCCTACTCCTACTCCTACTCCTACCCCTACTGCTACTGCTACTGCTACTGCTACTGCTACTGCTACTGGTAGGGGTAGGAGTAGCAGTAGCAGTAGCATTAGTAGTAACAGTGGCAGTAGCAGTAGCAGTAGCAGTAGCAGTAGCAGTAGTGCTACTCCTACTCCTACTCCTACTCCTACCCCTACTGCTACTGCTACTGCTACTGCTACTGCTACTGCCACTGTTACTACTAATGCTACTGCTACTGCTACTTCTACTGCTAATAATATTAATAATGAATTCCATCTGCCAACACTTGCACGCTGCAACTGCTGTATACCCACAAATTTGATATGATCAAATAAAAATGTAAATATATAGCAGCCAGGATTATGAAAGCAGAAGGCATTTTCTTGTACAGCTCACTGATATTAAATAAGCTAATCCTATTAAAATAAGCTAATGAAAATTACAATAGCAGCCTGGCTGTGATTAATATTAAAATATCATATCAGGAGGGTCTATTATGCTACTCCTGATCATATAAACCTATAAGCTGGTTGTTACAAAATAAAGCCATGCCTTATTTAAATTAAACCTGTAATCTATGCTTGGCTTTGTTTAATGCTTGGCCCAGATTTTAGGAACCCTGGACAGTGGATCTAAAAAATCACTAGCGAGTGCAAGTGTGATGTACAAGCAGTCGTGTCGTTTGATGTGTATTAACTGTCTAAAGGAGAATGCTGGGTGCTTTAGCAACAGTCATGGGTGGGAATATAAAAGGTGATCATGTACCTTTAGTGGTTGGTAGCCCTGCCCTACTCCCCCACCACAGTTATATGTCAGTTTAAGTCGATCAATTTAGAATTAGGATTGCCATGGTCAGCTTCTATTTAGCTAACTGGGTACACCTGTACACACTGGACTTTAGACAAGTTGGATGTAGTATAACGGCAGGGAGTCTGAATATTCTGTGGGCATTCTCTGTAACCATATGCTCTGTATACATATGAATTAAATAAATAGGTATTCCATTCCTTTGCATGAGCTGTGTGGCCAATTGGGCCTGTTTAACTGATGAAAGTTCAGATTTTCGGTTCAGTCCAGTTTCAGGTCAGACATTCATTGAAAGAAATGAACAACACAAATTCTGCAATATTTCAGCCAACAACAGACCCTGCATTTAGAATGAAGCCACGAGACTGCTTGATAAAGGTGGGGGAGCCAGTCCGATTCAAGACCAGAGTGAAAGGAACACAGCCTATAGGTGCTATATTTTATCCTTACTATACCCAGGCATAAATCATATAACTGATTTACCTGCGGGCATTTATGTGACGTGACTATAATCGTGTTGTAAGTAAAAGACTTGCATTTTAACACGATTGCTGACATATAATTTGTTATAATATACTTATGTTGATATAAACACAGGTGTACGCAGTGATATTGTTATTCTTTCTTCTGTTGAAGATGTGTTTTGGTACCGAGTAAGCGAGGAAGGGACGAAAGAATTGGACGGCGAACAATATCACACATACTGCGATGAAGGCGTGCACTATCTGGAGATATATGACACAAGTTCTAAGGATGCTGGCGAATATATGTGTGTGGCTGTCAATGAAATGGGGGAGTGCAGCAAATTCTTCATGCTAAACATCAGAGGTAAACTAATCAACTAATGTAAGACTATTACCAGTATTATCAGGGCTGTAGCCTGTGGGGGTGGGGGGGGGGCAAGCTGCCCCCCTAGATTTTGGAGCAAAATTAAAAAATAAGCTTAGCTAATAATCGTAAATATCGCTAACGTGATTTCTTTGGTCACTTATCCGTGAAAGCCTTGTCTCAGACCCACCCCTACCACACTATGGACGTTGATCAGGATCTGTGCCCGTCGCTCATCATTACACAGTTGAGTAATGAAATTTAGCCACTTCTAGGAATTGACTGCCCTGATTATTGTGCTTCTTGTAGATGGACATTTTCGGCCCTTGAAGGATGACTAATATGTCTGTACTAACAGTGTAACTCAGGCATGTAAGGCATGCAGTACATGCGAAGAATACATCATTATCAGGGTTACGGGTTCTAGAAGTTTCTCCAATTATTATTCTCTTGCCCAAATGTGCCTATAGTTCCAGTATATATGTATATACATACGCACTCACGCACGCACGCGCACACACAGAAAAATATTAAAGGAATAATAGGTCCATTGATTATGCAATGTTGACGAATGCTAGAGTAACTGGCACCTTGTGTAGTTAATAAGTACATTACCTTATAGCCAAACGCGTATTAGTTTGTCCAATATCACTGCTGGTTACTAAGAAATGTCTAATTGAAATCCGCAGTCCAAAAATCAGTTGTTTACAGTTTTAAACCGCTGCCGGTGAAGCGGGTGTG